CGGAATTCGTCCTCTACTCCGTTGATTCCACCAAGGATCGCTCGAGTTGTGAACTTTCCCCCCCCGCTTTCCCGGTTTCTCATACTCTCTCCGCTGCCGTCTTCGACTCCACTGTACCCCTGTCTCTTATACACATCTAGATGTGTATAAGAGACAGGTTCTGCAGCTCTCTCAATTTCCTTGTCGTTCCCACTGCTTCCAACGAGATGGGTAGCCCACAATCCAAAGGTAAGTATTCGACCATTTCCACCCTGTCTCTTATACACATCTAGATGTGTATAAGAGACAGCCCGTCTCCCTCTCCCTGTCTTTGTGACGTTCATCACGCTCACCCTCCCGACCCCCTCCCCATCCCAACCCCCTCTCCCTGTCCTTGTGACGTTCATCCCTCTCTCCATAATGACCGCGCTCCCTTTCCACCACTTCCCGCCCAGGTTCCTTTCCAGCTTCCTTACCATCCCTCTCTCTGGGTCTCTGACTTCCTGCATCCTTCCCCACTTCCCGTCCAAGTTCCTTTCCAGGTTCCTTTCCCAGTTCCTTGGCATCCCTCTCCTTGGGCACCCTCTCTCTCACCCTGGCATATTCCTGCTCCTTCGACTCTGCCGTGCCCTCCTCCTCACTCATCGATGTCGGTCCATTTGATCGTTGAAGCTGCAACAGGGAGGAGGGCCCTCCTCCCTCTTTGTGTGCATCTCTTTCGCCGCCATGTACCTCTTCTTCTCCATTCGACTCCTCATCTCTCTCCTCTTCCTTTCCTGCAACAGACAAGTAAAGGATATCCTATAAATGGAGGGAGCAACAGTTTAGTCCTCTGATCAAAATACATCCCTCAAATCCACCCACACTGCAACCCACCCAGCCGTAATACCCAATAATACCACACTCCAAACCAAGTTCTCGACCAGATACATGTTTGCCCAATCAATGTTATCCCCACCTTCAATAACACTAAACATACAGCACTTAAAAAAAAAACAAAGAAAACCTCAACAATGTTTCCCCCTCCTCCCCCAAAAAAGAACAGAAATGAAGAAGAAACTGCATACTCAACCCTGTCCTCTCAACAAGAAACAGCACAAGTCCTTCGGCAGATCCGTTGAAATTGGAACCATATCACAGAGACGATTAGCACGGCCCCGGTGCATTCAAAAAAAAAAAAAAAAAAAGAGTAAACAACACACTCAACCACCCAAGTCTGATTACTCTGTGAAGAGCCTTTGTCGCCAGGGTGTTTTTTTTTTTTTTTTTTTTTTTTAAAAAAGGCCTTCTTGCCAAAACCAAGATCTCTAAAGGTGTCAAACGACCACTTCTTTTTTTTTTCACGATCAATCTCTTAGAGCGCCCGGTCAGTATCCCCCGAATAGAACGCCCGATCAGTATCCCCCGAATAGAGCGCCCGATCAGTATCCCCCGAATAGAGCGCCCGATCAGTATCCCCCGAATAGAGCGCCCGATCAGTATCCCCCGAATAGAGCGCCCGGTCAGTATCCCCCGAATAGAGCGCCCGGTCAGTATCCCCCGAATAGAGCGCCCGGTCAGTATCCCCCGAATAGAACGCCCGATCAGTGTCCCCGGAATAGAACGCCCGATCATTATGGCTGTATCTAGTGAGTGCAGCTTTCAGCCTACATGCAGAAATAATGACAACGCGTTCTATTCAGGGGAAGAGAGAAAGATTGCATTCTCGGTGCGAATGGACGGTAGCCCGCTTTCCATGAACGGATGACAAACAATACAGAGAAGATTACCATTAAACAAACAAACAAAAAAAAAAAAACGGCCCAAGGCATCAAAGACGCATTTCCTATGGTGGGCTGAATCGGCCGTCCAACAGGGGGCGCAGAACAGGAGTCCCATAACAGTGGTGGCATTTTCTATGGGCAGCAGAATCAGCCGTGCAACAGGGGTCCCATCACTGAGGGTCGCGTTTTCCAACAGGATCACATAATAGGGGGTCGCGTTTTCTATGGGCGGCAGAATCTGCCATCCAACAGGGGTTGCATAACAGCGGTAGCATTTTCAGAATCGGCCGTCCAACAAGGGTCCCATAACAGGGGTAGAATCGGCCGTCCAACAGGGGTAGCATTTCCTATGGGCGGCAGAATCGGCCGTCCAAAAAGGGGCCCATGGTAGGGGTCGCATTTGCTATGGGCGGCAGAACAGGGGTAGCATTGTCTATTTGCGACAGACCGGCCGTCCAACTGAGGTCCCATAACATGGGTCGCATTTTATAAGGGCAGAAGAATCGGCAGTCCAACAAGGGTCACATAACAGGGGTCGCATAACAGGGGTCGCATAATAGGGGTCGCATTCGCTATGCCCGCCAGAACAGGGGTACCACTTCCTATTTGCGGAGAATCTGCCGTCCAACAGGGGTCCCATAACAGGGGTCGCATTTTATAAGGGCGGCGGAACCGACCGTCCAGCAAGGATCCAACAATAGGGTTCCCATAACAGGGATCGCAAAATAGGGGTCGCATTTGATATGGGCGGCAGGATCGGAGATCCAGCGCAGCAACTCAAGAAAATGGAGGCCTCTGATAACCGTCCCCCAACCAAGTCTTCTCTCAGTACACTCCTCAAACTAAGTCTTCTTTTTTCCCGAAACAAGTCTTTATGCCCCCACACAAACTTACAACCCCCTGACTGGAAATTTTCAAAAAAAAAACAAAAAAGACAAAAAAACGAACAGAGACGAGAGAGGACCCCGCGTTGAAAACTATTTCAAGAATTCGTAGAAATTTAAAAAAGAAAAGAAAAAAAACGAAAACACAGCTCAGTGGCACACATGCAGCACTGTTAGATTCTCAAGAACTTTCGTCCGAGAAAAAAAAAAAAAAACAATATCAATAACAACAATAACAATAGTAAAATTACAATAATAACAATTAGTATAACATCAAACAACAAGCAATAATAAAAAATACAATTAAATAAATAAAATTAAATAACAATTAAATAACAATTAATAACAATTAAATAACAAATTAAATAAAAATTAAATAAAAATTAAATAACAATTAAATAACAATAACAATACCAATAGAAAGAGAGTAAAACAAAAAACAAAAACAAAAAAAGAGTAAAATAACAATAATAACAGAAAAATAACGTTTACAACTCAATACAAGTAGCCATAGCAATTAAATAACAATAACAACACTGTCAATACCAATATCAATAAAATTAAATTAAAAAAACAATAATATCAAGAAAATAACCGTAACAAAAACAATAACAATACCACCAATAATACTATAGAGTTCGTACAGTAAAATAATAACAGAAAATAACAACAACAATACCGCCAATAATAAAATAAAGCAGCAACAATCATGTAGTCATCTAGCCATGCAGTCCTAATGATAATAATTCTAAAAAAATCGTCAAGATCACGATATACCTCCGAAAGAAAATAACAATAAGAGAGAATAACAATAGCAAATACGTAGTACATACCGTAAAGAGAACAATAACAAGAATAGTAAAATAGCACTAATAGCAACAATAACAACAGTCAAGCAGCCATATTGATGATAATCCAAACAAAGAGAATCATGATTACAACGTAAATAATAATCATAAAAATAATCATAATAATAATCATAATAATCATAATAATAATAATCATAATAATAATATAATAATAACACAAACCATAATAATAATCATAAATAATAAAATAACAATAATCACAATAATAATAAATATTATACTGAGTAATAGACTACTAATCTAAGCTACCAGCCGGGCCGCCCGGGTCACCCTATTTTCCCGGACGCCCTGGCCGTGCAAGGACTAGGGAAAAGAAAAAAAGAAGTCCAAAAAATCCCCAAAAAAACTATGTTATGCAGAAACATAAACTGAACAACTTTTGCCTCAGGGTCACATCGAAATTCTTTACCAATTTTTAAATAAAATTTTTAAGTAAAAAATATATATATATATCGTCACAAACAGAACTGCCCGGTAAACCGTAGGCAGAGATATATATTGTCACACTGTAAATCAGAGCGCGAAGGCGGAAAAAAGCAAAACAAGGAAAGGAAAAGAAGGAAGGAGAGCCCCACCTGTTCATCACCTCTTACGTACAAGGCCAGCCACGTGGATGACAGGTTGAGCGCTGGCTGCCCCCATCCCCGTGTGTCACAAGGACCCACTTGCACGCAGCCAAAAGGCATATATATTTTTTCTTTTTGGTCCGGCCGGGCAAGTGGACCCGGGCCACTCTGGTAGTCTACCGGTAGCTACTAATAATATGCCTCCGAAATGAAACAACAGTACGAGAATAACAATAGCAAATACATAGTAAATACCATAAAGAAAACAATAACAAGAATAGTAAAAATAGTAAAATACCAATAACAGCAACAATAACAACAGTCAAGCAGCCATATTGATGATAATCCAAACAAATGATTACAACATAAATAATAACCATAATAATTAATAATCATAATAACCATAACAAGAATCATAAATAATAAAATAGCAATCATCGCAATAATAATAAATATTATAAAATGAATAATAGATTAATAATAATATGCCTTCGCAGCATCCAGATCAGAAATCATAGACTGAGACGTCGCCACGTGTACATCGTACCTAACGGAGGATGACACCAACTATCAATATGATTGAAAATGTATTTATACAGTGTAATCAGTTAGGGGATTCTGTATCTGTTACCCCAAGTGAACATCGCACCTGCCTTGTTTTCTTCCTTTTTGGACCATGGTGGTCCCCACAATGAACTTCGCCGGTGACGACTTGTCCACTTTTCGGGACACCGAGCAACTCCTGTGAGGGACGCCGGGGCCGTTCCCTTGCTCGTATAAGGAAAGAAAGTCTGTTTCTTTACCTGCCTAGCGTCTTCCCCCAACACAACGCACCCCGATCACGAATGTATTCAATCTTTACGGTCCGATACAGTCATGATGAGGGTGTGTTGTACTGTGAGGGACGCCGGGGCCGTTTCCTTGCTCGTATAAGGAAAGAAAGTCTGTTTCTTTACCTGCCTAGCGTGTTCCCCCGAACACAACGCACCCTGATCACGAATGTATTCAATCTTTACGGTCCGATACAGTCATGATGAGGGTGTGTTGTGTACGGGGGAAAACGATAAAGGGAAGACGGAGCTTCCACCCCGGAAACGACGACGGAGAGGGAAGACGGAGGAGCGTTCTATTCAAAGAGTAATAGACGGGGGGCGTTCTATTCGGAGAGAAACAGACGGGGCGTTCTATTCGGGAACACAATGCTAACCCTGGCTACGCTCTTCACCCGAATAAAATGTCGCAACCGTCTTCCCCCGAGCATAACGCACCCTGATAATGAATGTATACAAGCTATATTTCCAGTCGGGTACAGCCACAGTGAGGGTGCGTTATGTTGCGGAGAAAGAAGACGGTGCACACCCAAATTTGCACCAAATGCACACCTACAATAATAACGACGGGGCGTTCTATTCGGGGTGAAGACGGTGCGTCGACGCCGAAGACGACGACGGAGAGACTTTCACGCGAATCCGAATAGAACGCCCCGTCAATATCGCTGTATCTCGACTGAAAGTTGCACCAGATGATGACGGCGCGTTCTCTTTGGGTGCCCGAAAAGAACGTCCGGTCAACATCGCTGTATCTAGCCCGAAAGCTGCACCAAATGCACCTATGATGACGGCGCGTTCTATTCGGATGAAAAGACAGACTACCGTAGTAGACGAAAAAAAAAGATGATGCGTCGACCCCAAAGACTACTATGATGGAGAAACTTCTTTTTCCACTTTTTTCTTTTTCTTTTCCTTCTTTTTTTTTTCTTTTTTCTCTTCTTCTCTGAAGGCTCTACTCCTCTTCCAGCCCTTCTTTTTCTTTTTCTTTTTCTTTTTCTTTTTTTTTCCCTTTTTCTCTTCTTCTCTGAAGGCTCTACTCCTCTTCCAAGTCTGACAAGTCATGTGTATTGTTAATAGATAAAGGAAAGCGCCCGACCTATAGACCAGATCCTGTTCTTCAAGTAGGAACACACACACACACACAAAATACACCTAGACTGTGCGTCATTCATTACCGCTGTATCCAGACTGAAAATTGCACCAAATACACCTATAACGACCTTGTGTTCTATTCCGTTCGAAACATGGTAAGCAGCGCGAAAGGAAAAAGGTGGAACAGTAAAAATGAATTTTTGACCAATTAAAAAAAAACGTTGAGTTGAGCTCAGTGACCAATACAGGTTCACTTTTGACCAATTAAATATAAACTTTTGACCAATTAAAAAAGGTAGCTCAGGTACACCCAACGAAATGAAATGTTGAAATTCAGACCCAAGTTCCAGTCCTGATACAATCTCAGATAACAAAAAAAAAAAAATCGAATTACATGGGGGCAAAAAAGCTCAGTGACGACATCTGAAGGCCGTCAAGGAAAAAAAAAAAAAAAAAAA